TATTTTCAATTTTTGTGCAGAACTTGGTAAGTGAATACATACTCTAAGTAAATATTGCTTCGCTCAGATGACTGCTTTAAAAGAAAAATAGAAACGTAGCTTTTTAACCAGAAGAAAACAGGGTAGATATGTCAGCATAAAATGGGAACAACCTGAACATTTAAAAAAATATAAAAAAGGAAAGCCTCTTAAGAAACCATTCAAAGCAAGTACACTGAAATCTCAACAAAAACGAAAAAAATAATCCATAAAAATTGCATACTTTTTAAATCTTCACTTATGAAAAAGTCACTCTGTCCCCACTAAAATTAAGCCGTAATAACTTAGAAACTGCAAAGAAGTATGCTAATCATCCAACATAAAAATGACATTAAAATATGATAAAGAAGAATAAAGAGCTATTATAATGCTTTCCCATCCTCTACCACATACAAATGCAATGCCACTATTATTAATTCCTGTAACATAAAAAAGGACGATAAATGTGGAACTCAAGATTACATCATTTTCGTGTGTATTTTTTATACAATCAGAACGGGACAAAATAAACAAACGAGAAATTCGTGCAGGAGCTATCTCCTTGGCGACAGAACTACCTCCTTCCCGACAGAGCTGTCTCGCAGAATAAATATCACATACGAGTATTAACTTTAATAACTATTATTTTGTTACGATAAACTTTTTTTTTGTATTCTAGACCTAATATCTACATGAAACGTATTCGATTTTAATTTGGATCTCTGTATTAATGAAAATAGGAGTATAAATCATCTCTTTCATGATAAAACGGTCCATTTCAACGCTCAATTCGCTGACTGGGAAAGCCGCTTCAACTACATTTCAAACACAAATTTATCAACTTTACGCTTCCAGGAAACTTAAATCAAATTTACATGGTATAGCATTCTTAGAATTTATATTTGTTGTAGTGTTTACAAAATATATGAAAAAAGAAAACACTAAACTTTTTTGACAGCTGATTCTAGCGAAATGCACAAGCTCAGAAGTAGCGATAGAGCAATTTACCGTTTACCTCCGAAAGAGGGAGCTCTATCATTTACCAGGAGTGTATACACTTTCTCGCTCACCGATTATACCTTCTCCATCGCCTCATCAACCTATCATTTTTTCTATAAGCGCGTCAATGAAAAAGTGATTCATTTTTATTGTAAATATTTCTGATTTTGGAAACATGATAAATAGAATATAATATTCGTGAAAGTTCATTACTTAATTAATTGACATCGTTGAATAAGATAATATTATGCTCGTCAGAGGCTAACATTTTATAGTTTTATTAAACTCTTTCAATAAATTCAGTGTTGAACCTACAATTTTTCAACAGTCTCTACATTCTGGTTCGTCTAGGCCTTTAAGGTAAATTTTAAGGCAAAGGAGGTGATAATCACCGTATGAACACGTTTTCGGATGTTTCTAAATTCAAAATTGTACCACTTCATGTTCTGTTTTAGCCAGCGCTAGGGGGGACAGGAACGGTAGCTTGAACCTAACAGTACTGCCAGCAATATTTAGAATTATGCCGTTGAGGATTCCATTTCTTTTCTTCTCTATTTTCATGTGATACAACATATTGACCTTTTGTTGGTTTTATCATAAATTAAGCATGCCTAGTCTTGTGTTTTTCAAAGTCTTAAGATACCAAGACATTAAATTTGAAATTTTGCAGGTTAAATTTAAGTTTAAAGCAAGCTTTAGTAATGCAGCAGGTAAAGAATGTTGCTTCTAATGTTTAAGTATAATTATGTAACGTTCATAAAATATTGGTAAAAAGTGCCCAAATCTTATATCATGGTGGTGTGTGTTTACAAGATAATTATCTACCAGTGTTTAAATGGTGTCAAAAATTAGGCGTTCATAGTAAATGAACTAAATGGGAATTTTCTGAATCGTAAAATTGCCCAGAATTTTATTTTACCAAACAATGAGTTTCTGATGTTCTTAAACAAAAGTGGTTTTCAGACATTGATGATAATAGTGTAAATAACTTTCTTAAGAATGTTATTTTGATAGAAGTGTGTGTTTGAAATCAAGACAAAACTTGCCCTTTCTCAGAACTTCTGTATTGAAACTGGGAGGTATGGTAGGAACAGGTTCGGATGATGTTAGCTTTGTTACTGTCAAAATAGCCATTATATTTAGAAAGTAAACAACAAAAATATCCACTATCTTTTGTTACTTTTTGTTATGATGTGACGTCACAATTGCGGCGTTCTTTCTGATTCGCGCGTTGTGTATTTACATGAAATGAATTTGGAAATAAAAAGAGAAGAGAAAAAATGATTTAGAAAGAAACTTCAATATTGTCAAAAAGCTTATTTTTAGCAAGCCTCCTTTTTGTAATCACTCAAAGTTAAAGGAAGGAATCAAACAATAGAACAGAAGCAAATCTTAGAAATCTTGAAACAAAGTGATCCTTCGGAAGCATAAATCACAACAAAATTACATAAGAATTGCAGACTCGGTTTGATTTAGTCTGTACATGAGGGATAATGAATAACTACAACATCCCACATGCCCCCTAGCACCGGCTTGAGCGGTATTCAATTCTTGAAGGACCAGAAAAATAAAACAACATTGAAGTGAAGTACGGGGCAACTTTTAACAGCTGCCACACTGCACTTGACACCTGCTGTTGTGAAGTATAAAAATCTGGAAATAAAGTGATCCCTCCTTAGAAGTCCGCTTCCCAGAAAAAAGTAAGCCTAAGAATGGTCCACTTTCCAGAAAGGAAGCAAGTCTTCGAGAAGTCAGCTTCCAAGAAAAGAAGCAAGTATTAGAACAGTCCGCTACCCAGGAAAGAAGCAAGTCCTCGTAGCGCAGCACAACAAGTCTTTCTTGTGCAGTAAGTCTAAGCAGCGCAGCAAATTCTAAAGAGCGCCTTAATGCAATGAAGCAAATGATGAGATAGATTCCTGGAGAGATTAGAGCAGTCTGCTTCAGTCAAGATTGGGAAATAGACGATTGGGCCATGAGTTAAAGCTCATTACTATCAGGGCAAGGTATTGAAGTTTTTACAAGTTTGTTTATTGAAGAAGCCAATGAGTCTCTTTTTCAGTTCATTATGAAGTTGAGACTTATTTTACAAGAAGGGCAGGTATGGCCGGAATAGAGCAGGCCTTTCATGGAATAAATGAGTTCTTGATCAAGGGACAATGTATTGAGGGATTGACCGCTGATTTGACTATCTTCCTAAAAGAAATAGTGCTGGCCTTAATAGAAGGGTTAAATCGCCTTGCAGAGCGATACATAGAAGCACATAAAGGGGGGCCTTACGTTTAAGCCAGAGGTACTCCTCTTCTAAAATTAGGGCAGCTAGGCAGGAGTATTATACCAGAAACATCAGACAAACAGACGGAGTACAGACATTATCCGATGAAAATATGCTTTATTTGTAAAAGGCGGAACATTTAGTCAGAGACTGCCGACAGAACAGCAGAAGCCAGGCACTGAAGGTTTGCTTCATTTGCAATAAGATGTTGCATTTTGAATTAATAATTTTACTACTCTAGGATACAGTAAACAGCATCAAACATTCAACCAAAATGTTAACTGCACAAAATGAAATTAACATCACAAAATATCTACATATGTCTTCAAAACCAAAGCATTAACTATGAGAATCTTGACAAGACAAATCACCCAATTCAACTGAATATCAACCTTATATATCTTTCCAAGCAAATATAACTCAACAACCAAATATAATGCAACAACCAAAACAACTAAATATAACTAATAATGAACCCAGATCAAATTATATTCAACCAACTTCAACAGATCAACAAAACTCCATTCAAAACAACAATATTATCTTCTCCGAAAATTAAACACATTTCGAGAGTGCCTTTCCTAAACTGATGTAAATTTCATCAAACTCGCATAATAATTAAATATTTTCTATCTTAACAATTTGACATTTGCATGTAGTGAGAAATTTATAAAAGAGGTTTGAAAATAACTGTTCATCGGAACATAATATTTACACTACATCTCGAACAATGTATCGCTGTAAGGATAAAACTGCATGATTATCCTCGCTCGCTGGTGTGTCGGTATAAGTCTCCATCTTGGTTAACTGGGTTGTATCGCCTTGTTTTTTTTTCTGAAATCTTCCAAACCACCTTTATCTGTGTTTACATTCAATGTTTATTCCTCTGTCTGCAGAATCTCTTTTTCAATATCAGAAGGCTAAATAATTTCTATAATTTTCTGATCAATGTTTTCATCATCTTGCAATTTCAAACGGATGTTTTTTTAAAAATCGTGTTTAACGCTGTCGACGTCCGATCTTTATTAGCCGGTTTAATTCTCTGCAACTGCTGACGAATAACTGTTTATGCCCCTCTCTGATAAAAATAAGTCTCTCTATTTTCTTGAGGTTTGGTCACGGCACCAATATTGAGCATCGTTATAGTGAAGTATAAGAATTCGCCTTTTTAAGTTTGTTACTTTATTGTAATATATAAGCATAACGTATAGTGGATGTGACGTCAATCATATTGCATGTAAATAGCGGAAGATGTTACGTGCATAGGAGCAATTATGTACATATTTTCACTTTCCATGAACTATTTTGATCATGTGATGATTGAATGTTTACGGAAATTTTAGCTTGAATGTATAGGATATAAATGGAACTTTTCTGTGGCTTGGTGAATAGTTATGCCATAATCAATTTGAATTTAGTTTACTTTTAATTAAAAGTGATTTGCTGAATAAAAAAAAAGCATGAAAACAATTGTTTCATACAAAAAAACCTGAGCCGGTTCACGACCGTGTATAAGCGCACCAGATATTGGAAATTCTTGTATGTGTACATATATTTTATTACACCAGAGATTTCTTTATTGATATTAAATTATTCACTATTTATTTTAATTTAGAAAATCCTATTGTGATAAAAAGGCTTGATATCTGATTTTTTTAGTGAATTGAAGAGTCAAAGGAAATGCTATAATTATGTAGATCTATTGGCTCACCTTCACCTTGAGTTGTAAGTAGATCAGATGTTTTTGGTAGTTCATCCGGCAGTTTGCCTTTAAATATATAACTAATTAATTATATCATATATACGATGACAAACATATCTATTTAAACTAAAGCTTGAAATACGGTTTGGGCTGACTCATTTACGAACATTCAGAACTTTCAAGCTTCCGTCTTGCAGAATGTAATATTTATAAACGACTTTATTGTAAATATTAAATTAAAGCACATATGCATATAATTATGTTCATTCTATGTATATGCGAATTGATTTAAGTCAGTCTGGTACCAGAAACTCAGCAAACGCTTTATAAAAATTATCATTATTTCGTTTCTTCAGTATTTAAACATCGATATATTGTTGTTTAAAACATGATTCATATTATTATAGCAAGCTGGTAAATGGTAAATTCACAAACTATACCAGTTTGCGACCAATCAAACTCGTTAGAGCTTAGACAATGTAATTAACATCGGATACATTTACATTTGCAGGCTTATTTTTGTGAGTCGTAATATAACATTTTTTCTTTAAAAAATGTTGATACACATACCTTATTTCAGTTAACTACATATTTTATCAAGTGAAAATTGACTGAACAAGACCAATAGAATATCTTAGCGTATATATGCTCGTTATATGTGTCATTATTCGTTTATTAATTTTGCAAAATTCTAGGCCTAGGGTACTGATGGAAAGTACACAGTTTAGTTATATGTCCGTAATTGTGATGAACAAAATCTCTTTGCGAGATGATGACGATTTTTTTTAACATAACAGAGTCTAGTCGGTTCACCACTTTGCACACCTGCATCGGAGATTTGAAAATTAGATACTGATAAGCGTTTATGCACTTTTATTTTCTACAGGGATATTTATTTATTCATTTTCTTCTTCTCATTGAAAAAACTTATTTTGATTTAATATGCTTCTTTGCTCTCATTTTTAACATCCAAGAAATAGTAGTCATTGACAGAATCAAAATAAAGCTACATGTTGATTGATTAACTCACCTTGAACTGAGGCAGATGACTCACTTGGTAGCTGAGCGGAACCACCTGCATTCCGATTGTTGGCAAAACTTGTCTCTGAAATATCGAAAAGAGGTACACGAAATATGTAATTCTTAAAATATGTCAAAAGCTACAAATAACCCAGTCATTGCAGTTATTTTGTTCCTTCATGTTGAGACGAACGGTGGTTAAATGTCAACGAGTTAATTATATCAATATTCACTTTTTCTGATACTCAGGAATTGTACTTTCCGTCAGTCGAACAATGTTCCTAAAGTGAACAAGAAGTACATCTATAATTATCACATATGGCACCAACGATTAATACTATTTAGTTATTTACTATTTATTTCAGATGTTTTTTATTCAAGTATTTCTTTTTAAAAAAGGTATCAAGACAAGTTTCCTTTTTGTATATTCAAGGCACAAGTACAGTTATAACCATTATATCGTACATCTGACCAAAAAAAATCAATTGTGATAAATTAAAAAGACTTAATATCCGGAATTTGTTTAGTCAATTGAAGAGTCGTAGGAAATGCTACATGTAGAACTATTGGCTCACCTTCACATTGATTTGTAAGTGGTTGAGCGGAATCTTTTTTTTTTTTTTTATTAAATTTTCTTTATTATCCAGTTCGTACAAACAATACATTTCATACATTATACAAATTTACAAACATATTACAAATGTTTAATTGCAAGAATAAACAATGGTTACATCAGAAAAAACTTTAATAAAGACTAAGTAGATTTAAACTGATTCAACATGATTGTAAAAATGGAAAAGTAATCTAGAGCATAATATATGTAATTTAAATTATTTATAGTTATGTTTTCATTAATAAAAAAGAAGCGTTTCATAGTTAGCGTGAAAATAATATTTAATAGACTCCAGCCAGTCGCATATGTTTATGATGTGAATATGCTCCATTTGTTGTTATGGACATCGACCTTATTTTTCATTTCAGCAACGAGTCTTTCTAAACTAAGTTTATATCTAAGAAAATTTAAAAATTCACTGAAGGTTGGTATGGTTTTCTTGTATTTATTTTTAAACATAAAATATTTACCTAAGAGTAAAATATAGTTAATGCAGTTTGATTTCATATTATTTTTAATATTCACATTACACAAACTGACAGTTTCGTATGATACCAAAGTTGTGTCTGTAGAATATTTTGATTGTAAAAAATCCTGATTTGACACCAAAATGGTTGAATTTTTGAGCATTCCCAATATAGATGTACATTAGATTCTGGTGCCGAGTTGCAAAAATCGCATAACATTGACTCCACCATATTATATTTAAAGAGTTTTTCATTGTTTGGCAAAATACGCATAAGACATTTATACTGAAAACTTCGAAGTTTGGTATCAATCGTTATGTTTATGATTTGATGGAATATATTTTTCCATTCAAAGTTGCCTGAAAGTGCAGCTTCCCATTTGTTTTCTTGATAATTGTTTGTTGTTGTTTTCTTTTGAATAAGCATAGTATAAATAAATCGGCAGGTTTTAATTTGAGGTTTTAATTTATCAATTCAGTAGTTATTAGCTTTGTATTGTATCCCTTCAGATTTTAGTTTTATTTTCCATTCTTTTGGTATGCATTTTATGAGTTGATGATAGTTTAAAAAGTTTGATTGGGCTATGCCATAAAGGTTTTGGATTTCGTTAAAGCTATAAAATTGTTTTTTCCTATAATCGTATATATGTTCGATAAAGATTACGCCTTTTTCCATCCATTCACAGAAAACAAATGGTTTGTTACTTAGTTTTATATTCGTGTTGTTCCATATAATTTCTTTACCAACATCAGTTATTTGTTTATTAAAGTTTGCATACGACCAAGCACTGAGTACGTCTTTTAAAAATGTAGATCTAATATCTAAATTTTAAATATCTTTTATGTTTAGATAACATTTAAATATGAATTGTTTTCCATATCTATTTAACATTTTTTTATATACTTTAACCCATTTTTAATGTTGCTGCAATTTAATGCGTTTAACCCAGGAGCATTTAAGGAATATATAAAACTTTCAATGTCTAACATTTTAAGCCCCCATGTTGGTAATCTTGAATAATCTTATCTCTTGATATTTTGTCTGGTTTGTTGTCCCATAGAAAGTTAAACATGAGCTTTTTTATTTTATTTATGATTTCTTGGTCTGTGTTTTGTAAAACTGTGAGAGGATAAATAAGTTTGGGCATTGCAAAAGTTTTACGAACGGTTATTTTTCCAAAAATACTTAGTTTCCATCGTTTCCATTTATGCAAACATTGATCGAACTCATTCAGTTTAGGTGTTAAATTAGTATTAAGCATTTCGTCTATGTTATTAGTGAAAGTTATACCGAGCGTGCTAGCTTTTTCAGATGTCCATTTAAAATTATTGTCATTGCAGAAATTCTTAAACTTCCAAGTTTTAAAACAGTACATTTATCTTTATTCAATGTAAGGCCTGATATATTTGAAAAAAAAATTTAGTGTTGAAATAAGTGTTAGAAACGATCTTTTTTCTCCATCAGTTATAAAACATGCATCATCGGCAAAAAGTGTATGTTTTAGTTCAATGTTTCCTATCTTAATGCCTTTAATATCTTCATTTTTGGTAACTTCATTTGAGAGTAATTCTATACAAATAATAAATAGGTAAGGGAATAAAGGGCACCCTTGTCGCACGCCTTTTTCTATTTTAAAGAAACTGGATAGATGACCATTATTATGTATACACGATTTAGCATCTTTATAAAAAAGGCCAACCCAATTTATAATATGTTGAGGAAATTTAAATTTCAATAAGCATTTTTTCATAAAGTTATTGTCAAGACTATCAAAAGCTTTATTAAAATCAGAAAAAAATATTAACCCTTTTTCATTTCAATTATTAATATATTCGATTGTCTCTTGTAAAATTCTAACATTTTCCTCAATATATCTACCTTTAATAAAGCTTGTTTGCTCTGGACTGATTATATTTTGAAGTTTGGTTTTTGTTTTATTTGCAATTGCTTTTGTCGCAATTTTGTAATCTACATTTAGTAAAGAGATCGGACGCCAATTATTTATTGATAACATGTCTTTGTCTTTCTTTGGAAGAAGAGTAATAATACTTTGTTTTTGAAGTTCCGTAAGATTTCCGTTATCATAAGAGTAGTTTAGAGAATTAATAAGATATTGTTTTAGATCATTCCAAAATATTTTGTAAAAATCAGCAGTTATACCGTCACTTCCAGGACTCTTGTTATTTTTCATGTCTTTAAGAGCAATTCCGCATTCGTATTCTGTAAGATGACCATTTTCTACATATTCATTATTTTGTTCTAAAGTATTTATTTCATTTGCTAAAAAGATAGAATCTCCGCAATCTTCTATTTGTAAGTCTTTTTAATATAAACGTTCATAAAAATCTTTAATCTTAGTCAAAATTTTGTTTTGATTCGTTTCAATGTTATTTCTATTATCTTTTAGTTGGCTAATTATTTTTTGTTCAGCATTTTTCTTTTCAAGGTTTGCAAAATATTTTTTTTTCTCTGACCCTTCCACCCATTCAGCTTTGCTTCTTAGCAGGATACCTTTAGTTCTTTTGTCAATAAGATCATTAAGTTTTGCTTTTTCAGATTTAAGATTTTCTATTAAAATATTATTACTTGTATTTAACTCAATTTCTTTTTCTAGATCCCTAATTTTAGAATTAATTTCATGCTCATTTATAAGATCATTTTTCTTTTTAATGCTAGCGTATTTGATAGTTTCATCTCTAATTCTGCTCTTAATTATTTCCCATAATATGTTTGGATTGGCTTAGTCATTAAATGACACTATTTCTTGTATTGATGATTTTATTTTATTTTGATAATCAGTGTCTAAAAGTAACGAATTGTTAAGTTTAAAGTATCCTGGGCCCTTTTTACATTGAATAAACTTTAGATGCATAATCACAATAGAATGATCTGATTTATAACCGCTTTTTATTTGAAAGTATGTTACTGAATTGAGAGCACAAGTGGAAAAAAGAAAATAGTCGGGTCTGCAGAAAATTGGTGGGTTATTATGAGAGTGCCAAGTAAAAAGTTTTTGTTCTGGATTAAGTAGTCTAAAAACATCACAAAGATCAAATGTATCAATTAGTTCATTAACCTTTTTAGAAGTTCGTTTATTTGTATCACTTTTACCGTTTAGTTTGTCTAAAGAATGATTAATAACAGTATTAAAATCACCGCCAACTAGTAGTATTTCGTCACTAAATTTATCAAGATTGGTTTCTAATATATTGAAAAAATTGATATCGTCGTTATTTGGAGCATAAACGTTGAATATATTTATCACCTTTTCCTCGATTTCTAGTTTAATTCGTTGCATTCTGCCCACAATAATTTCTTGATATTCTAAAATTTTACAATTACAAGACGTATTAATAAAGATACCGACGCCTAAGCTGTTTGTACTATTTCCGCTTAAGTAAGATTTTCCATTCCACTTTGCCGACCAATTTTCTGTATCATCAGTGTTTGAGTTATAATGAATTTCTTGCATAACGCTATTGAAAATTTTTGTTGGTTAAGCCAACACAGAACACGGTCACGTTTGTTTGTCGATGCTAAACCTTTTACATTAAAAGTACATATTTCAGTTGAAGACATATTATATTGACTAAAGATTCATTTGTAAGTTTGTGTTTACCGACTGGAGTCTATAATATTCATTTTTTAATGATTTTATCATCAACATTTTATATATCATGCTTAGATGTATAAACAGCAGATAGAAATACATAAGTAAAGAGATTATATTGAAATACCGTTTGTTCTTTTACATGAATGGCAAAAAGTTAATAAGTACGATTTTCCTTAAGTTGAATATTTAGCTTCAGCGGTAAAATCTATTAATAAATTTATTCATGGATGCTTTATTCGTATACACAATATTTCCTTTTCTAATTTTAACATTCATCTTTAAAAAAAAATAAAGCGATCAAAACTTGACAAAACAAAGAAAAAAACAAACAACACACAAAATCAAAACAAGTCTATCAAAAAAGTACAGTATGTCTATATAGAAACATGTATTCATAATCGTAATTACAATATGTCGAAGAAGTTGTAGCAGTTTACATATATTTGTTTTAATCTTCATGGTTACGAATTTACATTACAACAATGTATTTGTTTTAAAGACATACTTGACGAGTTGTCTTACACCGGACAGTATTTTAGTAAAAAAAGGAAAAAAATATATGAGCCAAAATTTGGTAAAGGTAATCAAATTTTTTCAACTGCTTGCCTCATTACTATATCATTTTCCAAAAGACAACTTTATGAAGAGATGTTAAATATATCAAATAAATATTTATATCGGAAAGAAAATATGCATTTACATGACTTATAATATACAATATAAGTAAATAGTTACTTTTGGTATCTTGTTGAGCGGAACTTGGTTCATTCTGGATATTGGCCGAACTTGGATCTGAAACATTTACATAAGTTGTACACAAAATTTGTAAAACGTGTATCAGATATTAAAAATTCTTATATATGTACATTTGTTTCCTATACCATTAATTTCTTAAGGGATAATCATTTACTTTAAAACTCTTTTGTGATAAATAAGGCTTAATATCCGATAAATTACACCAAATTGCAGAGAAAAAGCTGCATGCAGATCTGTTGGCTTACCTTCATTTTGAGATAATTTGGGATCACTTGTTCTTGGCAGTAGAGCAGAGCCAGCTTCATACTGATTATTGGCCATATTTGACACAAACATAAAAAGGTGGTACATAAATTTGTCAAATTGATATATTTCAAATCAATAAAGACCAAATTATTGCGTATGTTTATGATCTCATATTCAGTGGTAGTTTGACTTTCTTTATAATGGTCCCACATGGAAACCTATAGAACCACCTTAAACGGCAAAAAGAGAATGTTGCGGGCTCGGTTTGATTGAGCCTTATAATGGGCAGTATTGGTAACTTGACGCTATCCTCCACACTCACTAGCATCGGCTTCAGCAAAATTCAACGTTTAGAAATACGAATTGCAAAATTTTGAATTAAGATCATTCGCAGATGTGTTCATCCGAAAAAAGGCAAGTAATAATTAGTAAATGACTCTTATTGATTTTCAGGTCTTTTGGTCAAAGGTCAAGGTCACCAGGGCCTTTAGTTTAAACGCTTGTCCGCTCATTGTTTAAGAATGCTTTGGTTTACAGTCTTTATAATTGTTACTGCGGTTAGTTATTAAAGAAAGTAAAGCAACCACTGAATATTTATATCAAAGACACAATGAACTACCCGTCATAACACAACTGAAATAATACTTTAATCGTTTATTAAATTTGACATATTTCAATTTGACAAATTTGTTTACATATATTTTTAAATTTCAGAATCAAGTTTGGCCAATAATCCGAATGAAACTGTCTCTGAAATATCGGAAAAAAGGTAAACAAAATATGTAATCCTTGTAATATGTCAAAAGCTACAGTCGACCCAGTCATTGCAGTTATTTTGTTCCTTCATGTTTAGACAACCGGTGGTTAAATGTCAACCAATTTAATAATATCGATACTTATACAGGAATTTGACTTTCCTTCAGTCGAACAATGTTACCAAAGCGAACAGGAAGTACATCTAAAAGTATCACATACGCCACCAACGATTAATACTATTTAGTTATTTACTATTTGTTTCAGATGTTTTTTATTCAAGTATTTCTTTTTAAGAAAGGTACGAAGACAAGTTTCTGTTTTGTATACTCAAGGAACAAGTACAATTATAAACATTATATCGTACATCTGACTTAAAAAAAAACATTGTGATAAATAAAAAAGGCTAAATAACCGGAAAATCTTTAGTCAATTGAAAAGTCGAAGGAAAAGCTACATGTAGAGCTATTGGCTCACCCTCACTTTGACTTGTTGGTGGTTGAGCAGAACTTGCTTCAGTCTGGTTATTGGGCGAACTTGGATCTGAAATATTTAAATAAGTTGTACACAAAATTTGTAAAACGTGTATAAGATATTTGAAATTCTTAGAGAAATGGCCTGGACAAAAATAAAGTATGAAAATTAACAAAGGGCAATCACTCAAAAAAAAGAAATGCAGAGTACCGGTTCTTGTGCACTGCACTTTTTCTTAATGAGATCTATCATCCTATGAAGTTTCAAGTCCATAGCTTATATACTTTAGGAGAAATGGCCTAGACAAAAATAAAGTATGAAAAATAACAAAGGGCAATAACTCAAAAAATTAGAAATGCAGAGAACCGGTTCTTGTGCACTGTACTTCTTCTTAATGAGATCTATCATCCTTTGAAGTTTCAAGTCCATAACTTTTATACATAAAAAAAGTATGAAAATTAACAAAGGGCAATAACTCAACAATTTAGAAGTGCAGTGTACCGGTTCTTATGCACTGCACTTTGAGTCATTATAAGAAGCATGCATACCAAGTTTGAAGTCAATCCAACTTATAATGACTGACTCATGCTCCGGACAAGCTTTAGGGACGCCGACAACGACGCCGACAAAAATAACCCCTATACACAAAAATTATGCGTTGCAGCAACCAATAGGTACGAACTTACCATGCTTTGTAAGATTTTTTTTGTGGCTTAAAAATGCACGAACTTAATAGTGTTAATAATATTGTTATTGAGAGATGATTTGTCCTTTAATAGCATATCAATATGTTTCACTCAGAATATGTCATAAGGCATTTATAATTGGAATATAGGTAAAGTCATCTATAATTTACGACTGTGTGTTCCTTGCCACCATGAAATGTTTTAAAAAATTACGATATCATATAAAAGATAAGTACCGATTGCAAATTGCTGGTCGCATATATTATAAAGTTGTTTCCCTTAATTGTTCTGTTATTAAATAATTATGTATTTATCTTAATGTTATGAATACCATACCTCCCAACAGTTTTTCAATCTGCGGGCTATCAATTGGTTCATCTTGACCTATAAAAACGCAAAACAAGTTTAAAGTAGGAATTTGAGTTTTTCATTATATTCAACATCATCGTCATAACCGGCACTTACTTTTGTTTAGATTTTATAATATTTAAGAGTTACGTTAAAAATCATTCTTTTTGCTATGGACTTTTTAAAGTTTTATCCTTATTATTGATAATAATATTAATAAAGACACAAATTTTCTTTACCTCTCTTTTTACGTATGTAGCAGATAATACCAACAATACAGATGAGTATGACCAGGACAACAATAGTTATTTTATAAATGATATCCTTTCCACCTAAAATGAAAATATAGTTTAACAAAACATTCCTGTCACAAAAATTTTATCTTACAATTATTGTTACCCTATAACAGTGATCTTAATGTCATTAGACACATCAAACTTAAATATTATGCCTGTTAGCATCTACATTATAAAGGAAAAATGTTCCTTAAATTCAGTTTCTTCCTTTGACAGTGTGTCACTAACTTACAGAAGATCAATCTGAAACATAAATTTAGGACAGCTCTTGTTACAACTGATTTGTTCAACCTCCCTCAAGGAAGAAAAACAAAAAGGAAAGCCTGACTGTGCAGAGTTGCTACACTAAGCAACAATCAATATTGCCATATTTATGTACCGAAGCAATTGGCTGGGGTATATTAAACGTTTTGGAGGTCACTTTGCTATATCGATATGGTTTTAGAGATTTTATGAAAAGAAGTGAAATTCATAAAAGAGTTACATTTAAGTCAATTGTTACATTCTAAACATGTTCAGCAGTTATCATACACACTGCGTGTTTTGTAATTCAATGCTTAATTTAAGCAGTCCGATAAAAAGATATTAGTGCTGGTTCAGGTTGTCACTATACATTTTATCAGACCGCTGACGTCACCTTGAATATTGAATTATTTAAAGCACCCTGATTTATATAAGTTAAGAAGGAATACCCGTAAGATTACTATAAAAAATAAAACATTTTACTATTATTTCGACTGATTATAATATCACGTTACCAGTTATGAGTTAGTTGCTCAGGCCGAAAAATGTTATAATCATCGGCCCGCCCAACAAGAGCACGTACAAAAACAGTAACAATTACGTCACATATGGCCTCACATTTGACGCCATCAAAGCAGTTTGCTCTGAAATGAAAGTAGGGTTAAGCGTGGATCGCTTAAATTTTTGTCCACAACCTAAAAGTAATTGGTACAATCACAGTTTTATTGAATTAAATAAAAAAAAAGAATACAACATTTTATACCTTAGAAATAAAACTTGCTAGCTTGTTGATTCTAGTGAATTTTGCATACACATAAGGGAAGTAACTTTGTCTGAGTTACTGTACACTATGTACAGAGACATGAATTTCAACAAAAGAAATATCAAAGTAATTAAAATTGTGCAACAATTCAACCTATCAAGTGTTTTAAAGACATTATTACACATAAGAGACGGACCAGAAAGTAAAAATCGACACTGAATAAATAATGACCTCGGGCTAAAGCCTTCGGGGTCGTTATTCACTTTGTTGGCCGATTATTACCCTCCGGTTTTAACCTCTTAATTATTTTCAATAGTATCGACCTGATAAGTTTAACATATCATCGGCACCTGGCGATATTAAAACCTTGCCAGAGTTCAGTTAACATTTCGATTTAGTCTAACAAGTTCACGGAGAGATCTTTTCAGCTAAGACCAAGTTTTGAGAATACGAATTCATGCGTGGACGGTAACTTGCACTTTCCAGTACCATCCATAAAAAGGCTCAATCAAACCGAGCCGAGCAACATTTTCAATTTTGCCGTGTTGGGCTTCCTTAATGAATTTTCTTTTTTTCCATAATATTGTCACATCAGTGTTATTTGTGCCGTGTAGCGGCTGTAAAAGGGCTAGCCGTACATTTAATCAAAGAAAATATATTTTCGATCCTTGAAGATCGTTCAGTACGACATTAAGGTTGTGTGTACATGTTATGTGGTATTTTTAGTTTCTTATATTTGACCTTTTTAAACTTGGGTGTTGCCAGTATTCCCACTTGAATACTATATTATCATCGTTAGGATACGTTGCCTGCTTTTTAAATATGTCTTTTTACGTCTTGTCTGTGATATGCAGGCTTCATAACCTCTGATCCCAATTCAAAATTCCATTTTATTTAGTTCTGTCCATTGTTTTCTCGTTAAGGGCAAATGCACTCTTTAACTTGGGCACCATGCGCCACATTTCATGGAATGGCACTATTGTGTCATATTATAACCGCCGTATGAACACATCTGCGGGTGTTTCTTAATTCAAAATTTTACCATTTTTATGTTTAAATGGTGAAGTCTGCTTAAGCCGGACCATGGGGGCATGAGCTGTAACTTGTACTTTCTAGTACCGTCCATGAACAGGCTCAATCAAACAGAGCCCGCGACATTTTTTTGCAGTTTTGCTTGTTGGGCTTTCTTTAGGGATTCTGTTTTTCTCTAGTTTATCCAAATTAATGCAAGTTTTAAACGACACCATTATACAACGAGATCTTTCAGGAGGACAAAACGTCGACCGTTCTCATTGCTTGTTAGTAAAACACGAGTCTGAATCATGTAAGAAATAATAAAAAAAGAAAATATCATTTAATAAGTACATGACTTAGTTCCGAGTTCTGAGTATTAGATATAAACCAAAGTTGTTTTTTTTCTTCAAATTGCCACATTAAAAAAACGAGAATAAAGATCAACAAGGCCACGTTCACGGGACGCAGCCCCCCCCCCCAACCCAAGCTTTTACAGCAGGGCATTAGGAAGGCACCAAACCAAAACCGGGAGCCGATGCAAGGGCGACGAAAGGAAGAGCGGGATACGTTATGTGTGAAATAATAAAAACGGTCCCGTAAGGCAAGAGCTATAAGGGTGAAAACAGGGGGGGGGGGGGGGTTCTCAGAGAGTTGTGGCGTTTTGACGGCAACGTGAAATTTTTCATGAAATACGTGAGTAGTTTGTATGATTGGTACATGCGAAACTTAAACCAAACATTTTCTGTGTCTGAAAGAACCATTATTGGGTGAAAATACATATCAGCAGTATTGTTTTGGATAATAATTACAAACAAAGGGCCGTCGAAATCATGTCAGAGTTCTAGGCCTTGGTTAGCAACCTCAAGTTATGGCTACAAAGACATTATTAAGATTAAAGTAATATCATTCAGTAGTTTGGAAGATTGAATACTAAAACTTTAATCCTGAATTTTCAATGAAGTTCACAAAAAGTCATAATGCAGTCAAAATCAATACCAGAGTTAGGGGACCTCCAATTATGATCTCGAAACATGTGTTAAAGATCCTGTATGTTTTGTGATTGATATTGTTACTGTGTGTATACCACACTTGCAAAATATTATATATGTATATAGTTATGCAAATAAAAAAATTTCAAACATCGAAGAATATGTAAAATGTGTACTGCAAATATTTGTGCACATTATACTTAATCAATAAATTACATGCATTCATTTCTTATTGAAAATTTGACTTAGAATTTATAGAAAATGAATTTCTAATTACCTCCCTTTATTTACATAAAATGTTAAATTGGGTAATATCTTTATAAATAATGCTTATTAGAACAATACTGACAAATCTTAATTTTAGCATCATATTTATGAAATAAAACCATGAAAAAAATGTGTTACAGGATCTTTAACTTTTTAGTGAAAAGCTACAGAAGATTTTGAGATAGAATTTGCACCAAGAATTTTAAGTTCGCAAAGGACCATAATTTTTGCCAAAACCTACGCCAAAATTATTGGCTTCGCTTTTGACTCTCTATTAAGATCCTGAAGTGTGAAATTACAAGCCAATATCCTATGTGGTTGACGAGATATGATGTTAACAATCTTGAACCAAAGTGTTACACATACGCTGACGCCAACGCCCGGATAAATGTGATAGCCCAACTATTAGAATAGTCGAACTAAAATTGTACAATATGTATAAAAACGAAGGCATACCTGATAGTGAAGGTCTTGCTGTTGCTGTAGGTTGGATGTAAGATATAATAATATTCCGGTGTGTTGTTAATTTTGTAAATGCTGTTATATTAATTTTAACTTCAGATGACATCAAGATTGTTGTCGTCGCTGTTATATTGATATGATGATGTGATATGTTCGTGGTTTGCAAGCTGTAAAAGATTCAATTTTAGGGAAAACTAATCTGCAAAATGGTGTTTTGCACCATCAAAGTTTTTCCGAAAAGATTAAATGGTTATCTTATCCGCCTTTAACAGAAAAAAAGACAAAAATGTTCATTAACACTTACTAGTACTAGTATATTACTTATACTAATAATTCGTATACCAGAGTACCTGTATGTAGGAAATAGAGTATAAACAGAGAGTCCCTTTCTTATAATACTTAGCTCCAAGCAAAGAAAGTGGGTGACTCTAACTCTTATGTAAAACAGAGGTAGAAATAAAGTAATCGGTTCTAAATTTATAAACTTTATCCAAGGAGATGGCCTAGCCAAAAGAAACAGTCATTTATTGAAAAACAAATGCGGCAAAAGTTTGCTTTTGTTTTTCCGCAGGAGTGTCTTGACGTGATAAGGACCAAAAGGTTACACAAGATTTATTGAAATAGTGTGGACTTGCTATCAGATGACCGATACTATTTTAAATGCTTATGTCAATCATTTAATTTTCAAGGGCTTGCAATTTCACACGTCTCTAATACCAGTTGAAAATGACACGCGCCAGAAAAAAGAAATTGGAAAAAAATCTCAAATGTCATCTTTGAAGCAAAATGTTTTGTAAACAATTTTAATTGAACATCTTCTTTAAAATGGTACTTACTATCATCATCATCATCATCATCATCATCATCTTTATTACATTACTAGCATCAACACCATCATACCAATTATGGCGAGCATCAAAATTATCATTATTTTTAAGGCGAGCACTATTAAATCTCTAGATAATCGTCACTAGTTTGGTGTAACTTGCATTACTTTTTTGCGGTAGTGATATTTGTTAAAAGCGTCAATGTGGCATTCTTTTTTGTTTGCAACAAAGACAATAAATGACAAAATGTGTTGTCAAGTGCAATTGTGCAAATACAATACATGCAAGAGATAATGATGACATCGTCTTATATTTAATTATCTCTATGTAGCAAAAACGAAAACAAAGATCAACAAGGTAAAGGCAGCGTTCACAAGACGCAGCCACGACACACCCAAGCTACCACAGCAGGGCACCACCGGGAGTAGACATAAGTGGACGAAAGTTCAGTTTAGTTATGTTTAGTTTTTTTTAATTTCTCAAAGTTTTTAGTTCATTGAAGAAGGTATTGTCACGTTCATTTCTTCCCTTGTAATGAGACAGTTAAGCTAGCGCGATTCCGTCATCGTTATGAAGATTATGAGTCTGGTTGAAACGAGGCTATTTACAACAACATTGATTCTTATTAAAATGATTGCTTGAAAAAATGAGCTAAATTATCTTGATGCTGTTGATAAAGATCTTGATGACTATAAGATGATTCAAAAGGTCTTAGTTATGATGATGACTGGTAATGGCAAAACAAATAGTCATTTTTAATTCAAATACTGATCATGATGATGATGATAGTTATAATAATAATCATGGTAGTTGTGAAATAATGATGTGAAAAACGGTGATTTGAATAAAGATGGTGATGATCATGATGAGCAAGCGTTTATTGCAATGATGATGATAATGATGCTGATGATGATGAGAAAGTGAGACCGATGGTGATGTGATTTTAATGATGGTAATGAAATGATGAAGACGATGGTGATATATTGATTGTAATGATGATGGTCATGTTGTTATTCTTTATAATGATGACGGTTGTCTAAAACAGTAATAGTGATAATGATCATGATAATATTGATGATTATAATTTATATCATTTTGAGCAGAACTACTGATTGCTTAAACGGAAAATAAAAACGATGATCATGAAGATGGTCGTCATGCTTCTGCACCTTATAATAATGAGGTCCGTTTTAATAATTGAAATGATTATGCTATTAATAATTGTAATGATGATGAGAAGAAGTATTTGATGGGAATATTAAAGACGGTGATAACGATGCTGCTGATGCTGATGATGATGTCGATGATGGTGTTGATGATGATTAAATGGCAATTATGATAATGATTTCAATGCTTTTTTATAATTGTGTTCATTTTGATGATTATGTTGTTGATAATGGTGACGATGACAAGCAGAAGTTCTTATATTGCGCTGGTAATGACGATAATGGTACTAATGATAGTGAGGAGAAAGACAAAGCTCGTCATGCTGCTGTTCCTTATAATGATAATGGTTTTCTTAATATTTGAAATAATTGCGTCGAGGATAATGGTAATGACGTGCTTAATTGCAATGAGATTGATGATGATAATAATCATTATAATAATAATTAGTAGTAGTAGTAGTAGTAATATTATTATTAGAGCGATGATGATGACAATGTCGGCTATGATGTGACGATGTTATAATTTGTAGTCCTATCACATCCGTCAAATCATCGAATGTGTGATTTTAGCGCTGTAATATATCGTCACCTTAGTGCAAGAACTCAATAATTGCTTCTTTATCTATATGCAGTTATTGAGTTTTTGCACTAAGGTGACGATATGACACACGTGTTACATAATTGATCTGCGACATATATGACTTAACAAAGTACAAACACCATGATTCCATATCATAACAAGAACCGGTTGAACCGGGTGATGCTCCCCGAGCAGGTTTTGGACACAGAAAAGTATACCTTTTGAAGTGTGAGAGTTATGTCCCTGACAAATAACAAGGGCGATAACTTAAAAATCAAGCAAAGCAGAGTTAAGGTTCTTTTGCACTGCACTTAATTAAATGAGACCAATCTACCTACAAGCCTCTTATGGTTTCAGAGCTATGTCTCGGACAAAGTCAAAGTGAAAAAATAACAAAGGACAATAACTCAAAATAAGCCAATGCAGAGTAACTATTCTTTTGCACTGCACTTCTATTTAATGAGATCTATCTACCTATAAAGTTTCATGTTGATATCTTTTATAGTTTTAGAGTTATGTCCCGGACAAAGTTCAAAGTGTAAAAATAAACAAAGGGCAATTACTCAAAAATTAGGCAAGACAGAGTTAGGGTTCATTAACAATGCACTTCTCCCAAATGAGATATATCTACCTACAACGTTTCATGTTTAAATCTATTTTAGTTATTTTCCGGACAAAATTCAAAGTGTAAGAATGTACAATTACTCAATTACTCAAAAATTAGGCAAGACAGAATAAAGGTTCTTTTGCAATGCACTTCAATTTAATGAGATTTATCTACCTATAAAAAGTTTCATTTTGATATCTCTTATAGTTTTAGAGTTATGTCCCGGACAAAGTTCAAAGTGTAAAAATGCACAAAGGGCAATAGCTCCAAAATTAGGCAAGACAGAGTTAGGGTTCTCTGCACTGCACTTCTACTCAATAATATCTATCTACCTACAAAGTTTCATGTTGATACCTCTTATTGTTTCAAAGTGATGTTCCGAACAAGAATAGCGGATGGACGGACAGGTGACAGACAGGGATAAAGGGCCATTTCTATTGTTATTTTCTTTTGTTTAATAGAGGTCATGGCCCCTTATTCTATTGTTACGGAATGAATTTTATTGTTCTCTTTTGTTCTGTTTACAGTTAGATGGCCCCTATCCATATTAGGCAGTGCGGATGGACGGACAAACCGGCGACTATATGCTCACCCTTCGGGAAGCATTTAAAAGAGCTTACCTAACATCATGTGAAGATTTATGGCATTTGTTTGACGTTTCATTTCTTATATAGCCATCCTCACATGCACAACAATAATCTGAAGATAGATAATAATACACAATATCATCAATTGATTACCAAAAAGAAAACAAAAGCCGCCGCCGGGTGGGGACAAAGCTCGACTTTATTACATTTTCTTAAAACAGACAAATAAAAGATTTAAACAAACCTTTAAAAAGAAAACGTTTCCTTTTTTAAAATTTCAACAGGAAGGTCTAGACACACTTGTTGTTTATTTCAAGCATGAATCCTTACCATAATTTTAATGATCTATTTTACTTCTAAAACTGTGCACATGGTCCAAATGTCATAGTTGTACATCAAACGACAAGAAAAGAGGTCAATTCATAGTAATCTAGGTCAGCTGATATTTAAGTTCAAATTTACATTTTTAATTGGGCGCATAGTCCAAATTTCTTTCAAAGCTGTACATCAAAGTATAAGAAAAAGGTCACTTCGTTAAAAGGTAGGTCAGCTGGTATCAAAGTTCAATTTTACATCTGAAACTGTGCACATGGTCCAAATTTCAAAGCTTTGCATTGAAAGACAATAAAGTGGGTCACTTCGTCAAATAATCTAGGTCAGGTGATATCAAAGATTAATGTTACATCTGAAACAGTGCACATTATTCAAATTTCATAGTTATACATTAAAACAAAGGTCGAGAAAGAAGGCCAATTCTTTAAAATGTAGGCCAGCTGATATTAAAGTTAATTTTTACATATGAAACTGTACACATGGTCCAAATTTCATAGCTGTACATCAAAGGACAAGAAAGGCCACTTCATTAAATCATATACGTCAGCTGATGTCAAAATTCACTTTCACATCCTAAACTATGCACATGGTCCAAAATTCATAGCTGTGTATCAAAGGACAAGAAGTATATCATTTCGTCAAATAATCTAAGTCAGCTGACATCAAAGTTTAATTTAACATCTAATACTGTACATATGGTATCTCATAGCTATATCTAAAAAGACAAGAAAGTCAGCCAGTTCATCAAAATCTAGTTCAGTTAAAATCAAATTTCAGTTAAACATCTTAAACTGTGCTTATGGTTTAAATTTCATAGCTGTACATCAAATTTCAAAATCTAGGTAATTTGATACCAAAGATCAAATTTACATCTTAAATTGTGCCCATGGTCCAAATGTTTTAACCCAAATGTTGCACGCGACACGTCGATTCAATAAGGCGATTATCTCTGTGACATAGTTGTTAAATCCGACTTCAAGTAACGAAGTTATGGGCCCGACATGATTTTGCTGCAAGGTCATGCTGTGACCTTGACCTTCAAGGTAGCGACCCAAATGTTGCGCGTGCCACGTCATCTCAATATGGTGATCATTACTGTGAAATAGTTTTAAAATCTGACTACAAATAACGAAGTTATGGGCCGGACATGATTTTGCTGCACGGTCATGCTGTGACCTTGACCTTTAAGATAGCGACCCAAATGTTAAGCGCGACACGTCGTCTCAACATGGTGATCATTACTGTGAAATATATTTAAAATCCGACTTCAAATAACGAAGTTATGGGCCGGACATGATTTGCTGCAAGGTCACGCTGTGACCTTGACCTTCAATGTAACGACCTAAATGTTGCGCGGCACGTCGTCTCAATATGGTAGTCATTTCTGTGAAATAGTTTTAAAATCTTCAAAAAAGACTTCAAATAATGAAGTTATTGACCGGATACTATTTTGCTTCAATGTCATGCTGTGACTTTGACCTTCAAGGTAGCGACCCTAATGTTGCGCGCGACACGTCGTTCAAATATGGTGATCATTTCTGTGAAATAGTTCTAAAATCCGACTTCAAATAACAAAGTTATGGGCCGGACACGAATTCGGGACGTACGTACGGAAGGACTGACGGAAGGACTGACGGACGGACAACACGACGACTATATGCTCCAATGACCAATCACCGTACCAAGTTTGAAGTTCCTATGCCTAAGCGTTTTTTAGTTATTGATCGGAAACCGTTTTTACCTCCAAGGTCAATGTGACCTTGACCTTTGACCCCTTGACCCCAAAATCAATAGGGGTCATCTGCTGGTCATGACCAATCGCCATACCAAGTTTGAAGTTCCTAGGCCTAAGCGTTCTTTAGTTATTGATCGGAAACCGTTTTTACCTTCAAGGTCAAAGTGAGCTTAACCTTTGACTCCTTGACCCCATATTCAATAGGGGTCATCTGCTGGTCATGACCAATCACCATACCAAGTTTGAAGTTCCTAGACCTAAGCGTTTTTTAGTTATTGGTCGGAAACCGTTTTTACCTACAATGTCAATGTGACCTTGACCTTTGACCCCTTGACCCCAAAATCAATAGGGGTCATCTGCTAGTCATGACCAATCACCATACCAAGTTTGAAGGTCCTAGGCCTAAGCATAAAAAGAGATTTTGATAAATAAACCTTGATGGTCAAGGTCAATTAAAGATCAAACTTACATCTAGATTATTCAACAGTTCTGTTTGGCTACAAGTCTGATTTTGTCCAAGTATGAATCAAATTCGTATATAAATAACAAGATCAAGACAATTTTATCAAATTCAATAATGAGACACTTACGGCCAATGTCATTCAAAGCTCAAGGTCAAGGACAGTTCAAGGTTTTAGCTGTCCATACGGTTGTTTTGTGTATGTATGAAGATGAAAAAAATATATTGATTATGTGCCAAGTTACAGCCAATTATATCAATTATGTGGTGTGACAATTCAGCAATTTGACATTCAAGGTAAAGGTCATACATAGTCAACATCAATTTGAGTTTGATTTATATCGATATTCTGACTAAACGATGGTGTGTTTAAATATGAAAATTAGACCATTAATAAATGATAAAAAGTTATAGCCAGTTACAGGGAAAACAAAGGAATTTCATTAGTTTCACTTTGCTAACAGTCAAGGTCAGTTCAAGGTCAAGGTCAAATCTAAATTATTTAAAATGTTTATTTGGTAACAAGTCTTCTTTTGTACAAGTATAAATTAAATCCGTGCATCAATAACTGAATTATGACAATTTAACCAGAATTCAATAATTTGACCTTGACAGTCAAAGTGTTTAAAGCTCAATGTCAAGGTCAAATCAACCTTTTAAAAGGTCTAGCCGAAGACCTTGTAGTGTCCATGTATGAAGATATTCCGTTAAAAAATTACCAAGTTACAGTCAATTATAGCAAAATTCAGTGAAAATTCAATATTTTAACCTTCAAGGTCAAATGAAATAGAGAGAAATAAAATCCCTAAATCCCTAACGTCATAAATTAGACCAAGTAAATTTGGGCTTGATATACATGAAGGTCTTATCCTAAAGAGTGTTGTGTCTTCATATGAAGTCAATCCAATCATCAGTAACAACGTTATTGCCAATTTCAGCATAAAAATGAACATTTCAGTAATTCAAGGCCAAGGTCATTTATGTGTGAACGTCAAAGTCTTTCTATTTAATTAAAGATCCATCATAGAAAATTGTTATGTTCAAGTTTGAAGACATTCCATTCAAAAATAAATTTATAGCCACTTATACCAACAAATTAACAAATATTAAGCAAACTTTACACATTTAACCTTAAAGGTCAAGGTCATTTATAAAAAAGGTCAAGTTTAGTCCGGTCTACTTGAAGGTCTTGTCCCAAAAGTTGTTGTGGCCGAGTATAAAGACAATACACCAATGGCTTAACAAGAGGGCCATCATGGCCCCCCTGAAATCGCTCACTTGATTATAGACCACAGGGCGGAGCCAATTTAGACCCCGGGCCTTTATTTGTACAAACGTGGTAGACACTCACTAAAAGATGTTTGATGCTAAATATATAAGCTCTCGCTCTTTGTTTTTTTAAAAGAAGATGTTTTAAGTTTTTTCTTTCGGTTGCCATGGCAACCAGAGTTCTACATGGAATTAAAATCTTTGAACAATTTTAAAAGGTGACTACCAAAGGAATATTCCTGTAAAATTTGGATGAAATTGGCTCGTTTAGAGTAAAAGTCTACGGACGGACAACGAACGAATGACGGACGGACGGACGCCAGATGAAAAACGATCACAAAAGCTCATCATGTCACTTTATGACATGTGAGCTTAAAAGTTAGGATGCAGGTTAAAGTTTGAGGACGGCAACTACCAAGTAACGGGAACGCCGACATGACTGTAATAATATTTCTTTAAGTCGAGCTTAAAAAGAAAAGAAAAGAAAAAAAACCAAAACATGTAATATTTATAATATTTCAAGTCATTCTTTGAAGACAATTAAAAAACGAAACCTTTCGTCAAATTCCTCCAGTATCCATCAGACGTCTTTCCACAGTCATACAGTTCACATGTAAAATCAAAGTTTGTCTTGTTCTTACACGAAAAGTCAGTTGGGCAAGCAGCATTAGATTCAATGTACATGTTCCGTTCATTACATCTGCATTTATTATCCTTCCAATGTCGCTCGATTCCATCCTCGTCACACCGTATCTTACCAATACCGTATCTACTACATGGGATTTTGTATTCGGTACATTCGTAGTATGTGCTAGATAACCTGAATTCTATTGGGTTGTAAAAATCCTCGTCATGACAATACCGACATATCACACGAGCCTTCTTATTGTGCCCTGGTGGGAAAATGAGTCTAGGTTCTTTACCTGAAATATCCGTATGCACATGGTCATCAGAATGAAAGCATACACAATATGTCTGTTATCAGACTATGTTAACTCGTTTTTTATTGCAATCCTATTTTGTCAGGCTATATAAATGATATATAAAATCATTTTCAACCTTTTCACATTGCATAGTTTGAATTAATTGTCACAATGAAACAAATATTTACCACGATCGCACCAAACTGCTTCGGCACATGCCTCAACATATTTGTTTGTTGAATTATCCCTCGCGCAATGGTAGGCCAGCCCGTCTGTACAATTCATGTATATTTTATTCTTTTCCCAATCCTTTTCAGTATATGGACAAAGCCCATGACAGGAAACATCATAGTATTGCAGTGTTTCACATTTTTCTCTTCTAAACCGTTTTAAATCTAAATACAATATTTAATAAAAGAAACTGATTACTAAGTGTTCACATAAATAAATGTAAGATTTTATTAGGACCTTCAGGTCCCGTGTTCACTAAGGAAAAAATCTTGATCAGAATCAAAGTGATCATAACTCTATTTTCATTGCTTTATAAAACAACAAATGATAGTATTAGGTACATAGTAAGTGGTAAATAATGCAACTTTGCAAAGATACAATGCCATTTTTAGATAAAATTGAATAGATTTATTCTAGAGTTTCATAAACATTCTATTTGAAGAATATTTCTATCATATTAATATTGAATATAATTTGAATAAACAAAGGGTATTTTTTTAGTTTTATTTTGATCATGGTCTTGATTCCGATCCTTAATGAGAATGTGATAGGTTCGTATTGAGTGCGCCTGCTCGAGAATTACAGTGATTAACATCTAAGTTAGAAAACTGTGCAGAATTAATTATTCAACTCTCAGTGGCTGTCAAGATGATTGCTGTCGTTGAATTAACTGTAGTCACTTGCACACAAAATTTATAATTTACATAAAATGATCAATTGCAATCAACATTTTCATAGAAGATTTATAAACTCAAGATCAAATCAAATAATTGTATCTTAAAATCCAAACGAGACTCTAAGAATTTCCTTAAGTGATTTCAAATTGACGGTAGATCTGCTGCATAGACACGAATACAGCAGAAATTTTAAAAACAATAATTAAGCTTGAGACTTAGATCTAGTCATGTATATAATATAAATACATATTTAGGGATACATCTAAAGATAGAGATTAAGAAACTACCAGACAATTTGCATCAAAGGAAGAGCAAGAACCATCAACAAGACAGGAAAATGATCGTGGCATTTAGAGCTAATATGTGTCTTGACAACATCAGAGCCGTATTTGAAACCACACAAGTTCATAAAAACTAGCCCGATTAATTAAGCATGGACGGTTTGACCCATTTAACTAACTGTGTTAAACTGATACGCCTAATTTTTACGCACGGAAACTTCATCAGCAAAACTGTAAGTATGAATCGATAAAACGGTTATAATCAGAAAAAAATGTTTCAGTTCTTCAAAAAATAATTAGAATAGATATTTTGTTACTTATCTCAGTCAGAAATATAAATAATGACAGCAGCTCTATGAACATATACTAGCGATTTATCTTAAATTTGTATTGTAAACTATATCTTCGATGGACATTTTTTGACATCATCTTAAAAAAATAATCAATTTAACTTTTGATAAATGCAATATGGCAATCTTATCCGGTCTCTCCAGATCTGCAAATACTAGACAATATAAAGACTGAAAAAAATTATTTTACTGAAACAATTGAAATAATTGCTTTAGAAATGAGAGAGGCCGATAAAAAATATGCGTAGCTGTTCGCTGATCTTCAATATAAGCACGCTACTAAACCAAAGGAGACCGGAAATTTAGAGGGGTAATGCTTACCGTTTACTGTTGAAGATAGCAGGTTTAAAACGCGATTTCGTTAAGAGACAAATTAAGTGGAATTATGTGTCTTCAGTTCTTTATTGAAAAAGGAAATCTTTAGAAATTGTTCAAAAACAGTAATCTATCAGGTAAAGTGGGCCGTTTCTCATGTTCATTGCTAGTTATCTCTCCAAACAATTTCTAACTCACGGGGTCGGAACCCCATATGTATCTCAAAAATGAACATCGGTAAAAAGTATATGTGAATTTCCGCAGCTCCAGATGTTAAGCATAACACCAGATGTGACTGTAATATTAGGTCAATCGCTGGGTAAGTTTTCATTTTTTTTTATATAAAATTCAATCTTTTTCTTTCAATTAGTAAATCGAAATGTGATTCTGCCCTCCTGACTCTCCTCTATATTACCCATTTTGTTTTGGATTTCTATGCAGTCTTCATCAAAATATTTTTTCCGTCGTGGGTTCTGTGGTGTCTAAAACATGCAATGCGTATGAAACAGACTAATAAAAGAGATGTTACAAAATCTCACTACAGACCGATGCTTAATATTCAGACAAACCCTGATTTAAACATTTATTGAGATTTAGCTACAAAGGAGTGTAAATAGTTTTCTTCATACCTTAGTGATCACTCACCGGCCAATATTAGGGTTCTAAAAAATACTGTTATCTGAAGTTCATACAGGTGTATACTAAGTCAGTTTTGCTCAATTTTATGAAGAATTATGATGTTAGAGCTTGGCAGAATTCATTATTTAAATTTGATGTTAATGGTGTTTTTTTATAAAGCCATTCTTATGACAAGCTTTATTTAACAGTGACTGTCTACCTAGATATCAGGATAAACGAATTATTCAATTATTTGCAAACTGTAAATGTTTTTCATTAAATTCCTTTGTACATGGAAAATTATTTGATAAAAGTGGAATAATTTAAATTGTTAATATGGGTTTATTTTCCTATACTTTCCTTTTATATAATTGTTACTAAAACTAAATGTGTGTGAAATATCTAGTAAGAAAAAGGTCTTCATTGATAGGTCATGGTGTTGAAGGACAAGTGTGCGTGGTGCTATGGTTTTATTAGCGTGAAGGACCAGCAACTGAATATCATGCAGTATTTGTACTATGCTGAGAGTTGGTCAACATTAATTGTATCATCTACCCAGAATCGTAACCTTTTACTTTGCTGTTTCTACGTTGACCCTTGTTGGTCGGAGGTGACATTTCATGTTACAGTATTGACCTTTATAGGTCGGTGGTGACATTTAATTATTATGGCCTTACATGGTCAGTGCAAAGGACTTTAAAAGTTAGATTGAATATTAACCTTTTCAAGGTCGGAGAAGTTGATAACTTCGTGTGGCATTTTACTTAGTATTTTAGACGGCAAAATAAACTGTTAAGTGGGAAGAACGATACAGACATTGTATTTGTTTTGATATATTTTTCTAAGAATATTTTCTAATGACAAAACTTAATATTTCTTAACTACTTTAGTGAACTTAAATTTCATAACTATCAAATAAGTACTACTTTATTTGATAAAATTATAGAAATATAGTAAATGTATTGGATTTTATTGTATAAATAAATGTGTATATAAATGTAAAAGGTCTTATGGTAAAACAGTTATTTTGGTGATAGAACTACCTACTCTGGCCATCTCTTGACTACAATTAGTCAATGTATATATTGTATATATGTTATAGTGTTTTTTTATTATCATGGAATCTTTAAAAGCAATAACAGAATTAGGTCGACAGATGGGGTATGATGGAGAGCAGCTTAGAGAATTCGTGACGGAAACAACAAGACAGACAGCGAGAGGAAATGAAAGAGAAAAGGAACAAAATGTAAAGCGTGAAAGAGAAGAATATGAATTGAAGATGGCCCAGATTATATAAGACTTATGAAGTAGCTAAAGAGGTAGATATGAAGGTAAGAGATAACAATGCATTTATTGAGCAAGAACAAATTAAAATGAAACTCATTCAAATGAAACATGATCAAAAACTAGAACTGTTAGACAAACAACAGAAGGTAGGTGAGACTATGCATCCTCCTTCTTTTGCTACCAAATTCTGTCTGACTAAAGGATTGAAAATTCACCCTTTTGATAAAACTCATGATGAAATGGACTCGTATCTTTAACGATTTGAAAGGTATGCCAAAGCAGTTAATTGGGAAATGGAAACTTGGGCTACAAATTTAAGTGCAATATTAAAAGGTCGAGCTTAAGACGTTTATGCCAGAATGCCTGCTGAGAATGCACTTGATTATGATGAATTGAAAGCTAAATTACAGAAGAGGATTTTAAGAAAATATTGCGTTCCTGAAAAGGGTGAGACATGTTCACAGTTTGTTGTAAGACTACAAAAGGTATATAAAACGCTGGATTGAAATGGCAGAAATAGATAAGTCTTTTGGCAGTCTTCTTGGTCTAATGGTGAGGGGTCAATTTTTGAATATTTGTAATAAAGAACTGACCTTGTTTCTTTTAAAGAAAATACCAAATTCATCAGCACAAATGGCAAAATTAGCTGACCATTATTGTGAAGCACGTTTTTTGCCTGCTTCTTTATTCGTGTTTTGTCGTAATGAACATGTCAAATATACTAAACCACTTGAACGTGGCAGAAGTGTTGAACGAAAGTTTAATTCTCATTTAGTACATGGTAAGGACAAAGATTTCCTTCAAACGTAAGACGATGTTGTCTTTGCGGTAAGACAGGTAACATTGCCTCTGATTGCAGAGTTAATCTTTCCAATAGAAAACCAATTGCTTCACTTCAAGTATCAATCATCAGATACAAAAGAAGTGTACATTTTGATGAAAAAGCAGAGCACAGTTAGTCAAGATCAAGATCACTTACACCAGAATTTAAGGATGTTAAGGTTTGTAATGTCTTTATGCCGTTTTTTTCAATGCCAACTTTACATGGAATCAAAGGTAATGAAATTGTGACTGTTTAAAGAGATACTGGCTGTAGTGGTGTTGCCGAAGGAAGGAGTTGCATCCAGAAAAAAACAAATTACTGATAGAAAACAGGTTTGTGGTTTAGCTTATGGTACAAAGATAGAGGTGCCGATTGCATGTACATATAGAAGTAGAAGTGTGGTGTATGGAAAGTCCAATTTATGACGACTTGATAATTGGTAATGTCTCAAGTGCTCGAAATCCTGAATCTCTAGATCCTAATTGGAAACTTCAAGTAAGTGCTGTTCTGACAAGAAGCAATCACGTAAAAAGGGTAATGTTGAGTATCGTTAGATGTTGTAAAGGATAGTGCGTGTCCTGATAATATTCAAAGAAAACAGCAAGTTGATTCTTCTTAAGCTAAGATATAGCGGCTGATTTCAAAAGGGAAACATGATGGTAACACATACTTTTTCATGAAAGGGTCATTGATATTCAGAAAGTTTCAGTCACCAAGTGTGGAAAAGGGTAAGGTGTTAAATCAATTAGTTATGGCCGAAAAGTTCCGTAATACAGTTATAAGGTTTGCGCATGAATCAGTATTGTCCCGCCATTTGGCAACAAAAAAAACTCTTGGAAAGGTTTAGTCTGAATTTTATTGTCATCTGATGTGAAACGGTTTAGTCAACACTGCGATGTCTGTCAGCGTACAGTATCAAAAGGTAAAGTTGTCAGAGCTCCACTTGGACAAATGCCTTAATAGATGTCCCATTTAAACGGGTGACAATAGATTTGGTTGGTCCTTTACAATCACGACGTTCAGATAAAGGTAACAGATATATTTAAATTTTGATTGATTACGCCACAAGATATGCAGAGGCTGCTGCATTGTCGTTAATTGAAACAGAGCGTGTTGCAGAAGCTTTATTAGACATGTTTTGTAGAATAGTTGTATCAGAAGAAATTCTTTCTGACATGGGAACACAGTTTACTTCGGACATGATGAAAGAGGTAAGTATTTTCAGTCTTTCAGGCAGTTGACAACAACACCATATCACCCAATCTGTAATGGTTTGTGTGAGAGAAAGAATGGGACAATCAAGATGATGTTGATTATGTACTGTACTGATAGTCCAAAGGACTGGGATAAGTACAGTACCTTAACCATTTGTTGTTTGCGTATCGGGATTCTCCTCAGGAGAGTTTGGGATTCACACCGTTTGAATAAATTTACGGTAGGTCAGTCCAAGGCATTTTAAACAGTGTTTTAAACGGCAAAATAAACTAATAAGTGGGATAGAGACATTAAATGTGTTTTGATATATTTTTGATATATTTTCTAAGAATATTTTCAAATGAAAAAAAACTTAATATTTCTTAACTACTTTGTTGAACTTAAATTTCATAACTATAAATAAGTACTACTTTATTTGATAAAATTATAGAATTATAGTAAATGTATTGAATTTTATTGTATAAATAAATGTGTATATAAATGTAAAAGGTATTTCTGTAAAATAGTTATTTTGGTGATAGAACTACCTACTCTGGCCATCTCTGACTTGTGACAGATACATATGGGGTTCCATCAACGTGTAACTTGGCAGTGTCCGTATATTAAAATGCAGTTCGTGGTTGGACTCGGAAAAAGACAACGCCCATGCAAATAATATCTCGATTTCTCTTTGACAAGCCTTATTATTTGGAATATAAAACTAGCACTAAACGTTATTCTCAAAAATAAATATGAGCATTTCGCATCTTTCTTTCGTGTTAGATCTATCATGTTTCCTTAGTTAATCGGAGGTTTCTTGCTAATTTGTTTAATTAAATGACAGATATTTGTTTACATTGACCACTGTTTGTTTCTTTGAAAGGTTAGCTGCGATGTTTAAACGCCGTATTTCCGGCATAAGTATTCAAGACATTAATACTTGTTGTTGATAATTGCCCTCAACCCATTATGTCTTTTGGACCTGCGGCCCTCATGCCATTATGTACATCTTCAAGCCATAATCGCATATTGGCGAGCAGCAACCAAGCATTAACTTTTAAGTTAGCGTTATAACGCGAATAAAAGCGTTATAACGCGAAACAAAAGGAGTAATATTAAAAATGAGAAGGCATAATAGCGTGAAACACAGAGCTCAACAAGGTGAAACTTTGTCATGTTATTGCTTTTTATATTGTGACATTTTCGCATTGTCACATTATAGCATTGTCTCATAGAATTTAAGACGAAGAATTTTCACATTGATACACGTGTATGTATTGATATACAATGTATTTACCATGCTTTGAAAAACGAAATTCTTCGAGTTTGTCATTTTCCTTTGGTATAATAAATGTTGTAGAGAATTGCACGACACCATTAACGATAAGAAATCCAAAATCTGAAACAGAAAATGCCAACATCAAATGCAAACTCAAAAAATACTTAAATGTCTGAAAGACTAAAGTATCATTTTTTCTTTGTAAGGGAAATATATTGTTGACAAGAACTGACACATGACAGTGCCGTTGGTTATTATGATATTTGCACGTAAACAATGACTTTACCATAAAGAAGTAGGTTATAGTATTCAAGAAATAAACATATACTGACTGGCTAACAACAATTTTAAACATTTAACTTTTGATGAATAAAATGCAACCTAATCATTACATTACAACAAACAACGATTTAAGTGATATTGTATTTTCGGCAGGATGAGTTCTGATATGAAAACACACTCCTTTTGATTGATAATATACAAAATTAGAAACAATTACCATTTCACTTTAGATTAAGAATAGAAAGTGAATTACCAACTTAAGACTCTGAACATAATAGTCACAAAAGATAATATTAATGCCTAAATTTCACTTTATATAATATAATCGTATATTTTTGAATATTCAGCAATAATATCAAGAACAATGTTGAAAATTGTTAAAATTGTTATATGTACTCCTTAACATAATAATATGCATTCAGATATTTTATTTTTAAACTTGGAATAGATTGCTAACCTTTAATACCTTTCAATATTTCATTTGATTATTATACAATGTTTTTGTTTTATTGTGTGTATGTTTCTATATTTGTTGAAAATGTGGATTTTCGAATTGTTTATTATGGTGGCTGATTTGTCCCATTTCGTGTTTTTGCCCCGCGGGGCTCGGAGCGAAAAAGCGCTAAATAGCGGGGCGCGCGGCGAAAAGTCGTCATTTAATTGTAAAATGGCGGGACCGCGAAGCGAAATATTTATTGTTATAGGGCGCTAATAAGCGTGCTGTTGTTCGTGGCCTCGCCAAATGATTCTTAAAAACATGCAACTTAGATAAATTGCAAACTAAACTTAGAAATGTATAACTTCAAATTTGCGACATGTAGAAATGTAAACTAAAGAACGTACACAACACATTTAATGCTGTGCATCATGACGTTGAGAATGTAACTGCATCAGTTGATACTCTCAGGTTGACAACACCACATTTTCCTTTTACATTCTAACGCGAGATTAACATTTGTAAACGATTTTGCAACTTCCATATATGGAATTATCACGAAAATAGACGAAAATAAATAGGCGGAGCCAATTTTCAGGAAAGCACGAAAGGGTACATGCAACTTTGGTTTTAATTTTTCTATTGTTAAAAAAATTCTTGTGAAGTCACACGCTAGAATTAAGGTTACTAATGTAATAGTAAATGTTATTACCCCTCACTTTTTTCGTAATGTTAATTTCCCATAGGCCTCTGGGAGTTATTCTTACTGTTAATGCAAGTGTACCACGTGACTAAGAATTTTGTACTGTTACATAGGTAACAGTATTTTTTAACAGTATAAAATCTGGTCACGTGGTCTATTTTCTAAATAAAATGAAATAAAATGGCCGCCATTTTTCTCTCGATTCATTCTTATTTTCGACGATAGGGCCTAGGGCATCACCAAAGTAACTATGACTCTCATAAAATTTAGTTCTTTGCACCCTAGAGTTCTTTTCGCGTATAAAATATCTTTTTGTTGAATAGTCAAAAAGTAAACATCCGTTTTCAACGGAAGTAATTGTAATGTGAATAATTTTGTGTCAAACTGGAACATGCAGACGATTAAAGCATGCAACAAAGGATTATTTAACAATTTTAACCAGTGAAACGTTACAGATAGAGTTGGTGGACAGACATCTGTAGGATATCATCGTTATTTTGTAAATGCACTTTGTCAAAAACCATGCGAAGAATATTCTGGATACAGAAGGATCAAATTTCACAGTTCATAACCTTATAAATGGGTTAGTGTTAGTGTTTTGTTTTCTAAATAAAACACAGCTTATTGTATGTTAATGACTGGTAGATATCATCACTTGCTTAAAGAATAAAAGAAAAACAACTTCTCAAGTAGGCCTACAGTAAGAAAAAAAGCAGCTTCTCAAGCAGGCCTACAGTACACTTAAAATAGAGTGAAATAAGAATCCCTAAAGAAAGCCCAACGCGACAAAATTGAAATTGTTGCAGGCTTGGTTTGATTGAGCCTGTTCATGGACGGTACAGTCAAGTGCAAACTACCGTCCACGCCCCCTAGCACCGGCTTAAGCAGAATTCATCATTTAACATGAACTGGTAAAATTTTGAATTTCGAAACATCCGCAGATGTGTTCATATGGCGGTTATCATGGAACCTTCAATGTGACACGTTAGTGCCATTCCATAAAAAGCGGCATATGGTCCCCAAGTAAAAAAATGCGTGTGCCCTAAACGAGAAAACAATGTGGGGAACTAAGTAAAATTGAATTTTGAAAGGGGATCTGAGGTTATGAAGCCTGCATATCACAGATATAACGTCAAAAGACAAATTTAAAAAGCAGGCCTCATATCCTAAGGGTGATTCAACAGTATTCAAGTGAGGAATACTGGAACCACCCAACAAGCAAGATGCCGAATAGATAAAACTAAAATACCACAAGCACAACAATAATCACGTGCTGAACGATCTTTAAGGATCGAAAATATAACATCCCTGATTGAATGTAAGGGGCGACTTTTTACAGCCTCCACACGACACAAACAACGCTGATGTGGCGATAAAATAGAGTGAAATAAGAATCCCTAAAGAAAGCCCAACGCGACCAAATTTGCAAGGTAAGGACAGTTTAGTTATTGATACTGTACTCTTGGTTTATTTTTGTTACAGTTACAGTAGATTTAGTTTACAAATTCAGATGCATCACAGTATTTGTTTCGGGTAATAAAATAAATAACACATGGTTTTTGTGTAACATAAAAAAAAAATCATCCCTCGTAAAAATACTGTTACCCGAGGCGTATTTTCCTCGGATGATATTAATTACTGTTACCACAAAACCCATGTGTTATTTATATACTACTACTAGGAAAGACAATAGCCAGACTTTGGTCTGTATTAGTATTTAGTCGTATCAAAAATCATATGTTGACTTGAAAATTTGATAGAGGTAAGATAGCAGCTTAACTGTCAATGTTACTCATTCCTATGAAAATTGGAATCCCCTAAGTAAAATGTATTTGTCGTTAAAAAGAATCTTTATAAATATTTTTTAACTTCCTTGGAAAAAATATCACAACAGACAGTAAGTAACCTGGTGAGGTTTTTTTTTTAGTTTCTTTTTCTAGGAAATTTGGTATCTACAACGTTTCAAAACTTATATGCCTTTAATCATTCGGAGGTGATAGGAACGTGGTGTATTCCCTGACTACATGTATTTAGAATCAAGTCCGCTGATGTTGATTGAATAAAGGCATAGAATGGTATCATGCAAGTGAAAAACGTGTAAAGCTGGATTATCCTGATCCGAATCATGATGGTTTGACATTTTTAAGCTAAGAAAGTAACTTCTGTTTTGTCGGCGCATACACGAACAATCAGTATTCCGCATGTTATGTTGACCATGTGTATTACTACAGTCATAAAAACAGTTAATGTTTTGTCGTTTAACAAAATGTTTTTTTGTTGTTTTTTTAAATCACATGTTTTCAATGTTAAATCGGCAAACTCAATCCAAGATTGCAACATTGGAGTTTACATACAAAAGAAAAATACAATTGTTTTGTCCGTACCAAACTGTTCAAAGGCTGGATTTTTGGCAAACGAATAGTCCCTCCAATACTTATAGTGAATTTTCTATTGTTTGAACAGGTCTATCCGAAAAATATAGACCTGTTACAAACAATAGAAGAGGTGTGTTACGCCCTGATCCTGTATCACACTAAATGATTATTCCTATAAAAGTGAGTCGGTATCTTTGTAATAACTAAATATTTCGTTTAAAAGTGCATGTATATGTTATATTTTCATGAAGTTTGGCTAAACCCAAAATGACGCGAGTGAAATATGAAAAACAAAAATCTACTCACAAAGTAAGGGTCAGCGTGGACATCCCTCTCCAATTACGAAAAACCAATATAAATTGAATGAAAACTGCACACAAAATTACGGTCTGAATAACTACTTGAATGTATATTATAAATACAACATTAAATTTAAGATTTAAATGTTATTTAACTTTTAAATCTTTCTTTTAATCTTCTTTTTGTTTTCAACATTGTTAAAATAATCATGTAATTTAACTTCTCATAAATACTAGGTAATTCACACCTGAATCAATTGATACGAAATATCATGTATTTGGGCGGACCAGTCAGATAGAAGTACTGAAACGAAATTTCCTAACCATGTGTTTATGCTATATACTGTACATGAAGCTTTGTGGTTTAGAGGTACTAGGTTTTCATACTTTGAATGTAACAAATATATTTTTCCATTGTGCTATCGTTAGTTATCCTTGTAAACCATTCTTTTTCTACTTTATTATGTATTACCCTGAAAATAATCTTTTATAAAACACCTGTTTCACCCAACCCCCCTTGAAATCTTTGCATGGGCTGTGACAGAGATGACACCAAAAATATCAGTTTCTCTCTGAGCTATTATATTCATCACCGGGTAGATTCACAAAGAGCTAAACGCTATATCCGTACGTGTATATCTAGGTGCAGATTGCATCGTTTTGATACATTGTCTGTGTGCTCCTCTAAAGCGGTTTTAGATGTATAAACAAAACTAAGGGTGTAAAAAAATTAGTTTTAGTTAGTTTAAACATATTCTAATTTCAAACATTTCCACACAAACATTTATTACATAACAATCCATTAGTTACATAATAAACAATGCTGAAAAAGGGATTAGATCCGAAAGCATACCATGATTATAGAGGTCTTTTCCTAACATATAATTCATTACTGTAAATTTGGCGGTAAAGTTTGCATGTTCGAAA